CCATATAGGAATGAGTGAAATAATAGTTAAAATAAAATTAATGACCTATGCCCAGAGTCACCAAATGACTGCCTATGAGCCAAATCTAGTCCACTGTCTAATGTGAAAACATCTACTTATTTATATATTCTCTAAGTGTTTTCACACCAAACTGGGGGACTTGCCGCAGAAACTGAAATGCTCCATATAGACAAAAATAGCTGGTCTGTAGACCTTTAAGAAAAGTCCATCAATCCCTAGCTCATGTCTTCTAACTACCTGTCATATTTTATTCATGCTTGTATTTATTTGTAACATGAAGCAAAACTCAGAAAATAGATTATCCTTTGTATTTTAAATATTAACATATTCCAACCACAAATATAGTGATTATATTGCATAATAAACTTACTGTTTTGTGACGACAACTCTACATCTGGGTAACATACTTGTGGCTAGTCAGATGTTCGGCAGATATTATGGGTATCTAGCAAATAAAAAAATTATTTAATGAATGATCCATGCAAGCAAGCCAACCACCAAGAGATGAAACCATCTTAATATTAAACTTATAAAAAACAGTGAGATGCAGCTGTGAGGTGACAGCCCTCCTCTGGTCCACACGACATTAAGTTAATGTAAACGCAAATGCCAGAGAAGCACCTCACTGCTGGTAATCTTCGTGTTAAGTACTATTCTACGGATGTTACCAGTACTTAGAAAGTCAGAGAAGTACAGCTACCAAAAATTCATGCAGAGCAGTTATTAAAAGAAGCCCTTTTTGTTGGCCTACACACACGCACACACACACACCCTTGTGGTTTCAAATACTTAGCAATGATAATGAAATCAACAGTAAAAAATATCTTGCCTAAATTTGTGCAACCAAATTTCTAACATTTTCATTCAGATTGAAGTGTTTAACTTCTGACCCAAATTAAATATACCAGGTGTGAATTATAAAATAGTAGTTCAAAAATAACTGGGAAAGAGAATAGGTTTGTCCATGAACTGACTTCAGAACCTCAGCTACACATCTCATTGCATTTTAAATAGGCAGGGACTCAGAGAACTTGGGAGTAAACACAATGAGAAACTAGTACAGAGGTTGCTTTTTTCAATATGAAATCAAACTTGTGACTTGATTCTTCTTCAACCTCCAATTAAAGGCTGCTAATGTGGCAAGGCAGCCCTACAGGTTGAGTGTAGCAGAGGCCTGAGGACACTGGTTCTAACAACACTAATTTGTTTCCTGGTTGTGTGAACCTGAGCAAAGCAACTGCTGACTGTGTTTAAACTTATTCTATACAATGACACTAAGCCCATTTCAGAAAGTTTGTTGGGGTAACAATGAACTCACATACAAGAAGGCAAAGTTTGTTGTTTTAGTTTAAATATCCTAGACTATTTCAATCTGCTAAAAACTATAATTCACAGTCTGGAGTATATATCACTATGTGCTCTTAATTTTCATTTCTCAGCTGACATTTTACACAGTTTTATAGCATTGGCAAATGGCACGAAAATGTGCTCCAAGCATAATGAAGCTTCTCATACCATTGTTCCTGCTGCTGCAGGACAGGATGTTGCACCCAACAGTGTAGAAGCATCAAGGATGGGGCTGTCGAAACATACCAAGGACCTTCAACACCACTCGATGCAGATGAAGGGCCAGCTATAAACTTCTGCATGCATGCAGGCTGCATTTTGTGGCATCAGCTATTTCCAGCATTGCTAATGTACTGTAGGCATATACATATGTATGTATATGTAGATATAATATATGTGTGTATATATATATCCATTCCCTTTTCTTTGGTTGTAAAATAGTAATAGTATGAAGACCCAGGGAATTATGCATGAAATGGTCACAGCACAATGCAAAAAGTAAAGTGTCCCCTACAACCCAAGTGGCCAAGGGCATTTTGAATTTGCTTTGCTATAGTTGTGCTTACACCAGCAATTCTACAGTCATATATGTTATATACAGGAGACTCCAGCATCATCAATGTGCACCACAAATGGACTGCACTGAATCTATTGATATTTCTCCCAAACTATCATGCCACATATGCACAAGCTAGCATTCTTGTAAATGAGTCTTATGTGTTAGCATAAATCCAAGAGTATTTTGATAGGTCTGAAAAACTAATGATTCTTGGCCAAGAAGCATTTAAGGCTTGTCTGAAACTTCAAATTAAATCCATTTGGCATTATGATCTTGAAAGTTTTTAATAACTATACTAATAGCTGAAAGTTCATCAACAGAAGATGTATATTGAACAAACAAAATCGAAAAAAGGTGGCTGCTCCTCATAGCAGTAACTGTTGGCTCCTTGTTGGTCTGCCTGCTCCAAGGGCGCTGTGCTGAACCCCATCTGACAAGGGTTCTTTTCAGTCTCACTAGACTCCATCTAACTTCTGACAGTGGAACATGCCTAACTTGGTTTAGTCCTTTCATACACTACTAACCTTACTGAACTGTACCTTCATAACAGGCAAATCTGCACATTCAAGACCAGATTTATTTTTGAAATGTGAGCATAATTAATCCAGAGCTAGAGAGTACTTCCTTTATAGAAAATTCAGAAAATGCTGGTGGGAGTAATGCTATTTTTGAATTTTAAATACCTTAAATGACTATTTTAGCTTAACTAGTCCATTTTCATCTATACAATTTAAGTTTAAGTAGATCCCATCTGCTTAAAATAATTCTAACTTGGCTATCCTGGAACTCGCTCTGTAAACCAGGCCAGCCTCAAGTGCATAGAGATCTGCCTGCCTCCTGCCTCCAAGGGTTGGGATTAAAGGTGCGTGCCACCACTGCCTGGCAGAATTCTACATATTGTTTATCCTCCATACTTTCAATGAACATAGGATATCTGTCATTTATCATGTATGATTTCTATTTCTTCCTTCCTAAATCTCTAGTATTCATTCATGCAGGCTAACTGTATAAACTAGAGCACTTAATTTCCTTTTCCATTTAAAGCAGTAAGAATCAAAGTGGAGAGATGCTGCATATAAAAGTAATTTTAATAGGCAATCTGCTTATTAAAAATTATATATCAAACTCTATTTACAAGAGTGGTCATTTGTGGCATAGGAATACATTTTAATATTTTCCTTTTTATTAAGACTTTAGGAATGAACTGAAAAACTATATATATCAGATGCTTCAATAATAACCTTGTAATTGCTTCCATTTTGGTTGGCCAAATTAGTTACACAATTGGTTGAGAAAAATGAGAATTGCTTGTGTAAATATCAGTTTAGTAGCTTCAGAAATGGAGCTGCGACAATTTTGGAGCACTTATCAATGGCATAAAAGCAATTGGCTGCTTGTCATAGACAGAATGTGTAGGCCAACAAGAGGTATCTTTGAAACCCCATGCTCAGGAAAGCACCCTCTACAGCTCTCACGTCCACACGATTCCCACTAAGCACAATGGGAGATCCATGTGCGTTAGGCTGCTGGACTGGGCCCTATTAAGAGTTGGTTTGTAAGAAACAAAGCTGTAAATTAGCAAACCTGGTTGGCTGTGGCTGTTGCAGCGAAGGGAACACTTGTGGCAGATGTTGTTGCTGCGGACACAGTGGCTGGCGTAGCACCGTGCACCATGGGAACTTTCGGAGGGAAAATCATATAAGCAAACATACAGAAGAGTGTAGCAATATGGAAACCATGGCAACATGGAGGAGATCATTGGGCATGGTATTTATCATAGCAAGAAGCCATGTGACAGGACATCATCACCAGCGAGTGACATGCAATCACAGCGCAAAGCAGGACAACATTCCAGGGAGAGAAGGGGAGGGAGGGATGAAAGAGAAAAAAAAAGGGTGGGGGGGAAAAAGCTCGTTACCATTAAATCAAGAAAATTGACACAAACAGGCTTAATTTGCTAAGTTAAAAAACAAGAATTTTATATAGTGTTCAAAGACATTAAAATATAAATAAAATACAGGTATTTACTTTGTATGTACAGTTATCCATTTGAATAAAATTTCTTTTTTTTATTATTCACTCTTATGAAAATATACAGTCATTACTTTTATGAGATAGACTTGTTTTTATATACCAGAACTCATAGTCCAATCAAAATCCACTAATAGTGACTAAAGGGAACTTGTGTGGAAAGAAAACATTTATGTGGGGCCATGTCAATTAAATAGAAATTGGCATTTAATTGACAGGTGTTAGTAAAGAGGAAATGGATTTGCCCAATAGATACACGTTAAACTTAGCAGTGGATTTTGAGGGGCTGTGAGATGCACCGTAGGTTTAAGATAATCAAGAAACAAAGCTGGCACCTACCAACACTTGTAGCGGGTGTCATGCACAATATTGAGCCTGCCCATCATGCATTGCAACAGGAAGGTGGATTTGAAAAGGGAAAAGAATTAAAACAACCCATCACACGTGTAATTAGGAAATTCATTTGAACAAAGAAGAAAAATTGTTATTACGGGAACAGTGGCATGTAACTGTCAGCACAATCAAATCATATAGTAGCACAGTGATCAGTTAGAACGAGTCCCAAGTGAAGAGTAAAGGCCAGTTTAACTGTGTGCTGGTATACTTTGTTTCTCTCAACTTGCAGCCTATAAATAGAGTACTTTCAGGAAAATTTAAACCTATTTAATTCATTGAGAACAAATTCTGTAATGTTTTGTTTTAATCTAGCTGCTATCTTATTGCTTTGCTACTTCAAAATCTGACAAATGAATGCTGTTTTCTTTAGACTAAACACCCTGGATAATTAGGAAGTGTTTATTATTAAAATGCTAAATACTTCAATGCATGAAACTGACTGGACAATGTAATGAAACAGAAACTAATTTAAACTCCTGGGCTTTGTTTCTCTGCTCACTGTAGCAGCAACCATACAGACACAAACGAGGTTGTGACCATCCAGACAGAAACTTTATTCAAAGGGCTACCAAGCAATAAATAAACAGTATGCAAAAAAGTGAAAACTCTTCATTTCTATAGTTTAGAATTCAAATGCAGAAAAAGCATTGCGGGGGAGCATAATTTCTTTGGAATCTCAAACCAGTTTACCTGTAGGCATCTGGCAAAAGAGACTGACTTTCAGTGCTAGTTTAGACATTCAAGACCTCTTAGAGTAGCCAGTTTACAAAAACTCAAAGGCAAGAATTTGCTAATTAGACTTCAATGAAAACCCTGCGTGGGAGATAATGAGGATGCACATGTCACATGTGGGGCCTTCAGCCCTCATGTCCACAGAGGTGTGAATGTAAGAACCAAATATAAATGCCACATTCATAGCTCTTGGTTTTTTCTGACATACAAATACTGAAAATCTATTTTTTATCAAGTACAGGCCACATTCACATATGGAGAACTACTGTTCTTTCTACAAGATTATTTTAGATTTCTTAAGGTTTAAAATATAAAATGATTTTATATTTCTATCTAAATCTGAGTCTTGGCACATCCTGTTTAAATACTAGCAGCATCTGGGATGAACATTTGTTAGAAAAATATCTGCCAACTGAGTCTTGTCAGAGATGGTTGCACACAACAAACTGCCGTTGAGAAACATAACTGAAACGAAGATGACTCAACTGGCGTTGCTGTCCCATCTGCAACTCATCCGTTATCGCAATCAGACCACGGCACCGAGGCCAGAGAAACTGAGAAATGGATCTACGGAAGCAAACTAATATTCTAGAGGGAGGCATGACTGAAGACATTGGAAGAGCTTTGTAATTTGCTACTACTACTACTGCATAAAGACTTGTGAAGGGCAACGAGCAACAAAACAGACCAATAACAAAGAATATATTTAGAGACAACAGAGCAAGCAGGACTTAATACTGGGTCTGGATTTTGTGAAAGCACTACCCTCTACGTCAGGAAGGTTGGGAAAGAAAATGTGAAAAGATAAATGACGATGTACAGTGGGCTATGAAGGAACATTAAAGCCAGTTTAAATACTGTCCAAGTTACAGGTTTTAAATTTAGTAGTATGCAACAATTTGCCTACTGTATTTCATTCATTCATGCATAATTGGGCCTGCACGCGCTGGAAGTGAGCTGACCTTATACACCTCTCTAAAACCTTTAGCTTTTAAGATTGAATTTTTGTTTGGGTTATCATCCTCATTATCATTGTAACCAATGCACACAGCTTCAAGAGGGATTTGTAGCAAATAAACACAAAGCAGCAATGAAGACACTAGCTGGGGTGCAGTCACTCACAAATATGAAGACAGTGCTGTAGGACCCTCTTACCAAAACCAAAAACCATTTCTGAAATGACCATAATATCCATCCTTACTTCCAATTGGCTGTTTGATTAATAATGATGCACAAATAGTCAATTTAAATTTTCCCTCAGTTTTCAGCAAAAGACAAAATTGAAGTGAATGTATTTGTCAATTCCCAGTTGTCCCCACAAAGATATTTGCACAGCAGAATGAATGGTGTGGTTCTGAGAAATGTGTCACTGTAATTACATCACTTTTTAAATTAAAATTTTAATTATCTGTGAGAATATGAAAAATAGGATGACAATTTATAAGTGAAATACAGCTATAGTTACTATTATATTAAGAAGAAAGAAAAATAAATACAAGAGAGAAAATGTTATAATCAGAAATCTGATCAGGATTTCTATGTGATAATTTTTGTTTATTTTAGTTTATAGTAAGGGGTGAAAAGGTAATTTGAGGTATTCTAAAAATAAAGAATACTATTTTATTATTAAATACTTGCAGTCATTAAATTTTCAAATTTGATACTCAAGTATGAAACAGCTTCCTTATTTTTCATTATTTATAAATATTTTTAACATAAATAAAACTATAATTATTTATACTTATATTGATTATAATAAAAGTCACAGGCTAGAGATCTTTGTGGTGTCTCTTACATAAAAATGGAACCATCTTCCTGCCACCCTGGCCCAAACATCTATACCACCAACTAACAGAGTTTCCTGGCCTTTTCTTTATATGTGGTAGAGCTGTAATGTGAGCCAGCATAGAAACTGCAGTAAGTAAAATAGTTTAGCTCCTGCTAACAGTGGGTGAGAGGTAGAAAAAAGTGATATGCGCTTCCGAAGAAGACAAAAACATAATGGAAAACTCAAGATGGAGGACACAGAAGTCTTTGGAGCCATGAGCTCCAAAATAGGTAGGGCATATGCTTTCTCATGTCGTTGGTACTGGCATATTCTTTATCAAGCCAAACTATGGGTTTCAGAAAAAAGGAGAAAAGATGTCTGTAGTGTTTGGCAAGCACAGCATGGAGTCATTACTCAACCAATGGAATGAAAAGTGGAAAAGAAATAGGAGAGCTGTTGGGGCTGGAAAGCATGTGCCCTACCTATTTCTGGACACAAGATTTCCCCCTGCAGTCAGGACTTTGGAATCTCTAGTGTAAATACTAGCATACCACAGGGCATATAATCAGTACGTGTTGACTGAATAGAAGGCAAGACTGATACAGAGAAAGAGAAGTTAGGGAGCTAAGACAGATGATAACTGGATGGATATACTCATGAATGGTGGATTAGGTGGACAGGTGCTATGTAAGTTCAGTTCTATTCTTAAATACGTGAGTATATTTCTCTGCTAGCTGACTAGCTTGACACTAATCACTGATCTTTTGCCAACAACCTAGTTCTTATGTATGTAGTCAACTGCTCTATGGACTTAGCAAACTGTGCTTCACTGTAACTTGAATGAAACAGACTCACATATCTTTACAGTTACTGTTGAGGCCACAGATCACAGGGCTCTAAAAAAATCTCAGGTGTGAAAATGACAGTGTATCTTCTTAATTACTATGCTGTGATTAGACAGAATGCTTCACTTATATGTAATTCTATATTATATACATAGAAGATTATGTATATGTATTATATACATAGAAGATTACCTAGATTTTGGGAAAGTCTGTTTTCTCCAAGATATTACACATGTAATTATATATAAATCTATGGTAAGATTGACTTCCTTTAGTTCTAGCAAGATTTTTAAAAAATAAAATTGCCAGTATTTTTCATATCAAAGGATTTTGTATATAAATACACAAAATGTCCCCAAAATCTGAACAAAATCACTACACATAGCAAAGTCTGCTGTGTTTGTCTATGCAGCTTTGTCTGGTCAAAGACAAAGAGCCAACCATTGCCATTCACAAACACAAGGCGATGGACATGGACCTTCAGAAGTCTTTGGGTACCACCTACCAGGCAATACAAACACTAACTAGTCTCCTTACAGTGGGTCTGTACTCCCAAAGTCTTGCAGACTTCATAGTTCCATACTTAGTTCTATGCCACATCACTGTTTTGGTCCCTGTGTGGCTTTTGGGGTATTTGGTTTACTTTCTCTGTGGAAATTCTTTATTTTCCACCTTTCTGACAAGGGTGTTTGGCAAAAATAAAGATATCATAGAGGCATTTTTCATGTACATGCAGGCACATATGTAAAAATGGCAGTATTTTTTATTTTTATTTTTAAATCAGGATGGCAGCAATTATCTCTGGTTATATGGCTAGTGAACAAGTCAACCTGAGCTTTAGACCCTTCAAATCAGGTTGCAAATATGTATTATTTTATTTTTCTGCTATAATAGTTTCACATAATGGTAAATATAAACAATAGAATATCTCTGATACAAAAATTAATTATAAGACACAAGTTTACCTCTGAAATTTCAACCTATTTTCAGCATGTTTTAAATTAACAATTTATCTTTCAAGAGTAGCAGGTAACTGATTCTGAGAAATGGATACAATTAATGTTTCCCTAACTTGAACCTGCATATTTTAGTTTAGACCAGGGAGCTGTTGAAGTGTAAACTTGTCATATGTGCAAGTCACATTTAACATACAATTGCTGGCTACACTAATTTAGAGAAGAATGAAATGTTTCAATATTGGTGAGAAGTTAATGCAAAAATCCCATGGATAAGACAGATTATTTCAAGTTTCTTTACATAACATGTGGAAGAAGATAATCTATTTTATTTTTAGATTTCAAATAGGGAAACTGTCATTTTAAGGGTAATATTTTATTCAATGGGAAAAAATGATAGAAATAAAATTTTTATTTGCTTAAATATTCTAATAATCCCTTCAAACCTAGCTTGGGATCTGGTTACAAGAAAGTGAGCAATTGTTCATTGAAAACAGTAAAAATCTAGCAGCAACAAAACTTAACAAAAAAGCAAAAAGATGAGTTACTGGAAGTCTCTGAACAACCCTATAGAAGGAGATATCGTGTGCTTTAGTGTGAAAACGTCGCTAAGATCAATGACCATGTTACATAGTAAAGTCATTTAATTTTGATCCTAATATGGACAAATTCCAACTTGAACAATGTTAACTCAAGAGTATAGTTATTATTTTAACCTGGAGCATTTTAATGAACTATTTTAGCCAGCTGGTTAATTCTATGTGTGGATGGCCATATAAAAAATTCTATATTTTATTCAGAAATAAACTGTACAAAAGTTTTATTTCCCAGTAACATCTAATATGAGCATAATGTATTAATTTGCTAATAAATTTAAAAGAAAACTATCCCATTCTTTAATATCACAGGAATGTGATACTCTAAATACTGTTACTAGCATAGGGTACTAGATACATGATGTACATACCTAGCTATTAATTTAATAAATTTTTAATAAATTATTTTATCAAAAGTATCATATATATTCATAGTGTTCTCAAAATAAAAACTTATGCATAAGAAAGAAAAAGATTAGCAAGTCTTGGTAATTAATTTCAAAATATAAGATATAAAAAGTTAAAAAACATAAAATAAAGAATGTTGAAATAGTAAATTTCTAACCAACTAAGTGAGTTATTAGTGTTTTTAACTCTTACATCTCTATGAGTAAGAGTATACGTATGTGACCAAGCTGAAAACGAACTGGAAACACAGCTGCATGACTCAGCACTAAACAGGAATACCATGGGATGACTAAGCAGTAAATACAAATACCAAGGGAACTTAGAGCTATTTGACTTCAGCATTGGAACATGAATAATTTTAGCAATGCATAATTAATATGAAGAGCACATCTTAAGAGCTCTAGGATGAATAAATTTTAATGGTCTTGTTCTATTTTGCAAACTAAAGGTTGAAAATGTCAAATTTGAGTCATTTCATAAAATTGTGGCATCTTGAAGGCAAAGGGGTCTTACAGCAGGAGAGCATCATAACACAGCTTGACAAACATACAACAGTGTTGAGGAAAGAGAGAAAGAGAGAATATTTCAATTCCAAATAGCAGAAACACCAATAAATATATAAAACATCTCTGTCTCAGTAAGCGTTTCAGTTGTAAAGGAAAGCCATTCATGAGAACTGAGTGTTTCCCCAGCTGACTGACTACCTTACCGTACACCCTCTCTGTGCCTGGCAGCTAACCTGGGCTGCAGGGCTGTGCCTGCTCTAACGGTAGAACCCTGCGGAGATCACCACAGATGCATTCCGTAGCAAATCCAAGCCCTTACCTGGTGGGAGAAACGCTGTATGCTGCTGTAACTGCATGTTGGCTAGAGCCTGTTGGTATTGGAAAATACCAGTGTTAAAGACTGCGGTGGCACCGTTGGTTTTTTCAAGAGCAGGCCTCTTTGGCAATGGGGGAAGTACAGCTTGAGGAATTCCCTGTTTGGTGAATGAGTATAAAAACAAATACCAGTAAAAAGAGAAAAAGAAAAAAGAAAAATCAGTTGTCGGCTAAAACCGTTAGGGAGCACGAGCAAGCAAGCAGCGGAGCATTTAACTACCCAGGGAACAAAATCCAGTCGACAAAACCAATTAAAGAAATTAAGCAAGGTAAAAGCTTTAAAGGAAGCATTATTTCATCCACAACAAAAGCCCACTAGTAACGAGAGCATATGTTATAATGAGTAAGGTGTTTTATGTCCCATAATGCTTCAGGCTTTCTGTGAGAAGCCGTTGACTTGGGAAAGAAGGAAAGCTGCAGTGCGAGCTCCATGAGGACTGACGAGTAGAAGCACTGTTAGTAGTTAAGTGTCCAGTGGCTGGCCAGGGAGACGACATCCTGCCAGCTCTGCCCTCCCCAACCTGCTGACACATGCAAATGTCCCAGAGCATGCAAACTCTCCTGAAATACTGCGCTAGACATGTTAAAAAGTAAAGACTTCTATCACTAAAGCCATGCTAACCACACAGGTACATAAATATACAGTGAAAACCACACTTTATTGTCCTCCAAGTATTTCATTAGAACGCTTTACAATGGAGTTAAACTGAATGTGGGCTGCTGGGATTCCAGTCTTTCATTGTACCATAGTCATCTATGTACCCATTTTTAGGTCTTTCTGCTCATGTTTCAGGAAACACACTCAGTTTTTCATTGTACTTTACCACTTTAAACAGGAAAAGGATTATATATATATAATTTTTTTTAATTGGTTAAAAACAAAAACAAAACAAAACAAAACAAAACAACCAAAAAACCTTGTATCTACAATAAAGCTACATGCCAAGCTAAAAGGTGAAAGGTCATAGTACCAGGTCAAAGGTTGCCTCGAGGGGTCGCTTCAGTGATTTGACAGCCGACTGAGTCTTAATTAGCAGGCAGCGAGCACATGATGGCAATGGGCCAGTGGGGTTCAAGCGCATTAACATAAACAGCAAGCAGAGGTGCATCATGGGGGCAGCAGTGCATTTTGGGTAGGTGAGAAAAAAACAAATAAAAAAACAAATCATCGGAATGCCATATACAACGAATAACAAGACTAAGCATGCACAATAAAGGCATATTGAGTTGTTATTGGAGGATAATTCCCCTTTGTAGTTAATTACAAACAATACTCTAAAGAAAAAAAAAGGGAGTGAAGGAAAGAGAAAAGGAGAGAGTCTGCCTTCTGTATTTTTGCTCAAGTATCCATAAACAAACACAGGAAAGACCTCTCTCATGATCATTTTACTGTGCAGTGACAATGATGTTTTATGAATATTTAAATAAGTTATATATTTATATAGAAAGGACAACACTGAAACAGCTAAGCCAAGAAATGGACTCCTAAACTAAGCTACTAGGTCACACTGAAGTTTATCTTAAGAAAAACCATTTAGTATCTTGTCTAAATGATCCAATTTTTAACTCTTTGAGTAGTGCTGGTTTTTTCCTTCCTAAATAATGGCTTAGTCAAGGTTTGGCACTTTAATAATCATATTTATGCCATAGTAGGCCTTCAAACTATCTAGATGGTGGGCTATTCAAAATGTTGCAGCTAATTTAAAAACAATTTTGTTGAAGCAATTCTCCTAAATAGTTTCAGATTATGTTATTAGAAGCAAGATAAATGTAAAGAGGAGCCATGATGTGCAAAAGAACACACCCAAGGAGAACAATGGCTGACTCGATGGTATGCAGAAATCAGGGACTGGAGACAGCAGTGTTGTTAAGTCAGAAAGGAGACAAGTGGTTCTTTATGAAGCAGGAATTTCAGAAACCCTACATCCAGAATAAGACAGGTTCTTAAGGGTTAGGCCAAGAAGAGGAACAATCTGAACCATCTGAGGAGTTACCCTCCCTTCTGTGAATGGGAGCTTCTTTATGTATTGTATGGGATACCTGAACAAACATATCTTCAGCAAAACATAAAGAAGAGGTTAATAGATGAAGAGCTTGTAGTAGACACATTGTTCACTTCTTCTGGACTGCGGACAGGAAGGGTGCTGCTGTCTCTACTCACCATGGCAGCTGCAGTGGCTGCAGCCTGTGCTGCTGCAGCCTGGTTGACCTGGTATTGGGCAGCCTTGATCTTGGCTTGCAGGTGTGCAGGAGGATGAAAGTATTTGCACTTTTCCCGAGAGCATCTCCCTTTGATGTAATCCATGCAGACAGTGACTGTGTTGTCATTGGTGTCAATCATTGTGCTGTCAGCAGGATGAGCAAACCGACAATCATTTTCTCCTCGGTTGCAGTTGCCTCGCTGGTACTCTCGACACACCTACGAGGTCATTAAATGAACGGGATTCAGTCAATGTGAGCAAGCAGGTCCCTTCTGAAGACAGTAATTCAACTATCCAAACTGATGACCAAGGGTGGATATGGAGGAGAACGGCAAACTAGAGCAACAAATGCAGCAGCATAATTTGACGGTGCTTAGTGTGCAAATATAGCACCTTTCTAGTGAAATGTCCTTGAGAAAGAAAAGGTGTTCATGGTGAGTGGAAAGCATATAATAAAACACCTATTCAAGTACTGTGTCGGTGTACTAAAGAATTACCAAGGGAAAAATATGGACTTTATAGTGAAGAAAGCCAGCAGACACCACATGTACCAAGTGAACACATGAATATTCAGAAAGAATGAGACACAGTAACACTACTCTCTATTAATGTGACAACTCCCCTCCCCCCAAAAAAAAACCCCACATCACACATGTCGTTTGTAATCACTGCCAATTGTTAATCCTGAGGAAATACTAGATACACTGAATGGGAAGCATTTTGCAAAATAACTAAACATTCTTTCAAAGTGTCAAGACCATTGAGATAAGAAAGATACTGTCATGGACTGGACATCATGGAACCAGAAAAAGGATGCTGGTGGGACAGTTGCTTACATCTGAGACAGGAGCCGATGAGATGCTACCTGACCTGACAACCTGAACTTGATCGCTGGAACCCACATGGTGGAAGGAGAGAACTGACTCCTGAAAACTGTCCTTTGATCTCAACATATACTCTGTGGCATGCAAGTGACCAGACACATATACAAATAAATAAATAAATAATGTAATTAAAAATTTAAATTAAATCTGATTCAGATCTACAGATTACTTAACTCATAGTAAATCAAAGTTAAGTTATTAGATTTATAAGTGGTACTGAAGTTATTTAAGATGTTAATATTTAGTTTAGTGAATGTCAGGCAAGAACTTTTGGTTATGTACTTGTAACTTTTGGTTAAACAGAAATTAGTGCTCAGTGAAAAACACAAAACATTCTAAGCTGAGAGCATTTCCACTAACATGTTTCCAGGAGTCACTTTTGAGCAGCAGACATTCACTTGGCAGCTGTATAAAGTAGGTGGAGAAAGACTCACTGTGTTACTGTCTACTTGCTTTCTACCTGTTAATTTCGGTGTGGGGGTCCTGGGGAAGAGGGAAAATGGATTCTTTCTCATTCATTTGCCCTTTGAATCGTATTACTGAAGTTTCCAAGTCTCCCTTTGGGAGTTTGATCTTTTGACCACCAGAGGGCCATCTAAAACACTGAATGACTTGATTTTTTATTACTTGTGTGTGCTAGCTTCCAACCTCCTCAACTGTTTACAATGCACACTTCAAAGACACAGTTTTTATACTTCAAGGATGCCTCCTCCCCCATCCTGGCAAATGTAGACACTGGACACTGTTTTGTAGTTAAGCAAGAAAGAGATTCTTTGATTTTAAAGGTACTAATAAAAATGACTACATTTAAACCCAGGCCCTACTATGGCAATATCCTATAATGGGGGAAAGCGGTTCATACTAAGAACTTGGGTTTGGCTACGTATTAAAAACCATGTGAGCCGGGCAGTGGTGGCGCACGCCTTTAATCCCAGCACTTGGGAGGCAGAGCCAGGTGGATCTCTGTGAGTTCGAGGCCAGCCTGGACTACCAAGTGAGTCCCAGGAAAGGCACAAAGCTACACAGAGAAACCCTGTCTCGAAAAACCAAAAAAAAAAAAAAAACAAAAAAACAAAAAAAACCATGTGGCTACTGGGCAACTCCCAGCTAGTAAGACTAGCTGTATTCCACAGCATAGCAACAACCTGGCTCCACCATTCTCATTTATTCAATTTTTAAGTATATTGAATAACCAAGGACACAAATGATTTAGAAAGTTACAAAAGGTTGCTCTTATTAATATATTCACCTTCTTGAACAGAACAAATAAAACTCAAGTGTAATTACGAGTTCACAATCTTGAGAAAGCAAATGTGGACAAGCTATGTTCAGGACAATCCCTTCTCTAGCTGAGTACAAAAAGAAGTGATGGGGCCTTCGGAACCCAGGTTCCTGGAGCCTGCTAAAAATGACAAGCTTATCACAGGAGCCAGGAAAGCATACCCCGCAAGACATATATTACAACGCAGTGAGCATACCTGCCCATAAAATACATATTCTGTTTTATGTTTCTAACATCACATTATAAACAGAAAGGTCACTTCTGTGCTTAAGCCAGTTTGTCAATATGGTTTCACCCAAGAGGAAACTCAGACTGGTCCCCACGTGCTCTCTCCAGTCAGTTCTCAGTAACTCTAACCTAAGTCTGCTAAGAGAGAACCAAGAGCAAAGCCCTAACACCGTTTTCACTCTTGCCACATTGGCAGGAAGACCTAAAACCCAAAGGGATGCATTTGTCAGCTCCCTTTGTGCATGTATGGTTTCTTTAGGTTAAAGATGGCTCGACTATCACGCACACTTCATTCTTTTGTGGAATGCAAGCAGGAAAGAGTCCTAAAATGCTTAATCAGAGGTGATAACTAGGCATCAATAAAGCTTTCAAGTAAATTTTAAAGGTTTTAAAGTCAATTGTTCTTTTTCGCTGCATTTTTGACTTTCGTTGTTTTTTGTTTGTTTGTTTGTTTGTTTGTTTGTTTTTTCCCCAGTTCTTTTGTCCTATTGGGGGTTGGTGCTGGAGAAACATACAAACTGCTGCCCCTCACATTCGTTTACATTTTGGGGAAATAGTGAAGGAGAAACCTCATGAAAGTTTGACTGCTGAGAGACTACAGGGAAGGTTTGGCAGATAGATGGACTCGGGAATGTTGGGCACTAAATGGAGCTAACTTGAAAACATATTTTCTCCTAACAGTCACCACCAGTAAAATAGGTTCTACCCACTGACTGCTGAATGTGGGTTTGCTTTCTTCCTTTTTCTAAAAATTTGAGAAAACTTCAGACTAGGTTTACAAACCCAATTAAAACAAAACTTTTAGATGTAGTTTATATTGGTAAAATAAAATTGACAAAATTTTCAACATATTTAATCTCATAATTCAAAACAAGATGAGAACTTACAAAATTTACCAGCAAATTTACAGCAGAGATGATTAAAATTAAACAAAAAATATCCAAGCAATATCCTAACTCCATTTTCCTCTTGTGCAGTTTTCTGTTTACACACCTATTATATGACTATGATCACAATTTAGCTACAACTTGGTTACCTTTTTCAGAAAACAATGCCTTAATAGTATCAACATTTTCATTTTTCTACACAAGCTCTAAGTCATCATTTCTGATTGCACCACAGATATCAAATACTGCACAGACTATGGGGGACTCTTAAGTAGATAATATAGATTATTTCCATTGTTTTCATATTACAAACAATTTTGCAAAGGAAATACAACAATCGGCATTTTGGATAATTTTCTAATGTGAATATGCAGAAAAGAAATTTGTGGGTCAAAAATTTTGGATATTTCCTGTAGTTTGATAAATGTTTTTCAAACCTAAATTAAAATGATGATACATAATAAGTCATATACAAAAAAATGACTCAGTCAAAACCAAACACTGAGTTTCTTACTCTGTGAACTGCTGTGGATATCATTCTGTATAAATAAAACACTGATTGGCCAGTGGCCAGGCAGGAAGTATAGGCGAGACAAGCAGAGAAGAGAATTCTGGGAAGCGGAAGGCTGAGGAGGGGAGACACTGCCAGCCGCTGCCATGACAAGCAGCATGTAAAGATGCTGGTAAGCCATGAGCCACGTGGCAAGGTATAGATTAATAGAAATGGGCTAAATATAAGAGTAAGAGCTAGACAATGATAGGCCTGACCTAATGGCCAAGCAGTTTAAATAATATAAGTGTCTGTGTGTTTATTTTATAAGTGGGCTAAGGGACGGCCGGGGCTGAAATTCTCCAGCTACAGTGAACATCAAAATAGAGCTGATATTGCACGCCAGGCTGGTGTCTACAGTGTAACAGGAAATGGAGAAAAAGATGCTTTTAGCAGGAAATGCAGCACCTCAATTGCAATCCTCACCAACAACATTCTAAATCCTATATCTAACAAAACTTTGGTAGGATAATTGTAAACCTTAATAGTTAATAGAGGAAAAACAGTCAGAAAAAAAAATCCAAAGAAATGTCTTACTTAGTCTTTGAAACATGCAGCCACTGAAGTGTGCTTGGTTACTACTGTGTGGTATGAACTACTTTAATAACTGTCACTGTGTCTAAAATCCTTCAGTATGCTGCGAACAATGCTCACTGTAACTTAGCAATCTACAAAAATACGTGTTTTAGAATAAGTACATTTTCAGTTCAGAGTAACAAACAACACTTGAAGAAGTTGTGAAAAGTTGGAAGTTATATAGCAAGTGCTCTGAAGACTATTTGCAGTGGCAATCACTTGTCTGATAAGTGAAAAAATTCCAGAGACTCTGGATGAGGCTGCCACGTATATACTACCATCCCAAGTGATCCAAGTCCTAGGTAAGTCAGTAAACAAACCCTGCACCATGTCTAAAAACACAACCAAGATAACACATTTTCTAATAGGAATGGCAAAAACCTAAACATATCCCCAAAAGGTATGTCAAAAATGTTAAAACTTTTCCTCAAAATTGTTATGTCTTATCACCTATGTTGGATTACCCAAAGATCTCTGTGAGGGAATGTATGTTTCTGTGACTAGTTAATTTACTAGCAGATGAATGGGTTGATATTTTAAGTTACAAGGTAGAAGTTACATGAGCAGTACTATTCTTAGGAGGGCCCTTTCTTGCCCTTGGTAAAAGACAGCAAGTAAAAGGCTTCACAGATATTCACAACACCTTTAACTTGAAGGACATGCAGTATAGTTCTCCACTGGATATGGGAGCATACATGCATCCATGGATCCATTTTGTACCATGAAAGCTTACTATGACTCTTTAGAATAAGTCAATGATTTCCATTGTTATTAATGTTTTGTAATGAAGCATAGGCATAACCTTAAATTAAGTCTTAGCCATTTCTAATACCAGTACACACTGTAATAATTTCTTTTTCTTTCTTTTTTTTTTTTTTTTTTTTGTTTTGGTTTTTCGAGACAGGGTTTCTCTGTGTAGCTTTGCGCCTTTCCTGGAACTCACTTGGTAGCCCAGGCTGCCCTCGAACTCACAGAAATCCGCCTGACTCTGCCTCCTGAGTGCTGGGATTAAAGGCGTGTGCCACCACCGCCCGGCTATAATTTCTTAAAATACTCTTTAAGCATTAAAGTGATGCTTAGGAATTACAGAAAAGCTCCCATGGCCATATATGTGTATATATATGTGAAATGTGTATAATAAATGTTTCAATACTTCTTATAGTTGCTGTTGAAAGCCAAAGAATGATTTAAATGCCCTGTGACATTAAAGATAAAACAGTGCAATCCTCAAATTTTACATATAAGCAACATAGAGCCAATGTGACAAACCAAGTTTATATAGTTAACTACCATACAAGCAGTGACCATTGGGTTCCTATTTTCCAGCTTCAGACCTTTGTATCCCATTTGGTACTGTCAACATTAGTACTTCTAAGTGATATATACAAACCAGAAGCATTTTAAATCTCTTTATTGTGTGAAAATTATATACAAGGAGGAAAAGATATAGCAAGAAGAACCAAGCCAAGATCCTAACTGTTTTAGACCAATTTTACTTTAGAAGAAAAAAAATTCAAAAAATATTTTAGGCTAGAACATGACTTGAATCTCTAAATAATCATAGCTGTCAACCATGAGGAAAGAATTGTGGGCACTCCTTCCATGTCCATCTCCCTCCAGCATGCCAGCACTGGAGGTGTTGGGGTGCTCTGGAATCACAACGCAGAGCAGAGAGAGGCACATGCATGTTTCCCACTGCAGGCCCTGTGACTGTGACAATGACTCAGATCCTGTCAACAGAAGGGAGGGCATGCCCACTGCTATCAGGAGGAAAGATTGTTCTAGCAGTCACAAAGGTAATGACAAAACACACAAGCAGCTCTTCATGGAAAGAAAAACACAATCACAAACACAACTATAGAAAAACTACCTAAAATTTTGAGGGAGTAAAGAGAGTTTTGACAATGTAGCTCAGTTTTTTTAAGCCCATTCTTTCAATGTTTTGAATATTACCTATGAATAATTAATATACTGACATTCCTCTCAGACGATTTGAGTCCCATTAGTCAATTAACAATCATGCATTAAGAATCCTTTATGAAGACCAGGGGAATAAAACTTATCCAAATGCTGTCCTACTTCACTTGCAGACAGCATTCATTAGAGAACAACGATGCTTGTGTAATGAGAAGCCAAACACCAGAGTGTATCTCTATGGCAAGGACAGGTTACGTCACATCCCTTTCCTACTCCGACTTCCCTATAAAACAACAGTAATGACAGTGTCTTCCCATCAGGTTGTTCTAAGGGTAGACAGAGTGATGTCTCTGTGTCTGGGAGGAACTTCCTGCCAAAAATGCTGTAATTTGATATTCTTTCTAATGCATCCAATAAAATTTATTCAATAAATAAGATATTAGCACTTATTATATTTCTGATAACTTGACAAGTTATTAGACTCAGCTATCTTCACATACCACCCTACTTGGCTGCTTATTCCTTAATTAGTCCACATAGGACGTCTCAGCTCAGAGTCCATTTTCCTACACAGACTCTTTATCAAGTCTGCTAATTCGTGCCATGCTGAAATTCTGAACAATAATTTCAAATTAGGATGTGTAACGTTAATTTCCGTTTCAGTCAGCAACATTAAAGCCTGAGCATTTGCTCATCTTCTACCCCATGACTATAACAGTGAAAATGCTTTTATAAGGGCACATTTCATAAAACTGCATCACTGTCTCAATGGAAGTACTCCAGATCTTATGAGAACATCTGTAGTGAGTTTTTGGAATGTTTCATGTACAGTAGCCAATGTGTTCCATGTCTATGAGAGCCCTAGGGCATTAATCATTTGTTATTTTTGATTGCTACAATACCACAACGATAAACATTCAAGAAGCAACTCTTCTGTATCAAACAAATTTTTTTTTTTTAAATTCTTTGAGGTATGTGTATTAGCACCATGTGAAAGATTTTAAGGAAACTGGAGCATAGTGAAGTAACAGGCACCCCATCCCAGTTCCAAGCCTTCACCTAGTAGCCTAAACATGGATGTTATTGTAGCTTTTATAACCATTACATTAATCAAAATAGCATAACTATTCTAACAAAATGCTACAAATACTAAAAAAAAAAAAAAAAAAAGAAAGAAAAAGAAAAAAAAATCATTGCTTTCAGCTTTTAAAGTCATTCTGGCCATAAACACTTGAAGAACTGTAACAGAAACGATGAAGATCCAATTCTTGGTCTTACCTCGAGTCTGTCTGTCCGCATTAACTTCTGTGCAGCAGCTGCTGCAGCTGCTGGCACTGGAACTCCAGGATTCCCTGTGACCAACATTGGTGCAGTAGGCAAGATTTCTGCTGGAACCAGGCTTGGGGAAACAGGCCCCAGGTAGGGATTAAAGGCTGCTGATGCATTGGTGGCTAAGCTTGGTGCAACTGAAAACATTGGCTGAAAATTAAAACAGAAAGCAAAATTTAATTGCAGACCTCAATTCCAAATTGATACCCTACTTTACACAACTATCATTTATTCTTCATCTGTGATTCATTCTTCCTTCCTTCATTTCTATTTAACTCTGTTTTTAATTTAGTCTAAACGGCTTTAGTAAAGAGACATTTGCTAGGTCATTGTTTCTCCTAAAATCTAGAAGGCAAACCTCCAGAGGGTTTCTGAAGCTTTGCATCTAAAATATTTGGAGTTTTTTCCTGAATATCTCAGTGCAGACACTTGTTTGTGGTCACCCAGTCTCCACTTTTGTGGTAAGTCAAGGCTAGAAACTTGTCTGAGATATACATTTTGTAACTGCTGTGTCAGATACACTCGAAAGGTCTGTTGACAAGTGTTAACTAGATACAAGGGTCCTATCATCTGGAGCAGGCACAGAAGTCCCAGGGGATAACTGAGTCCCCTAGTCAGCACACTGTTAGCAAGTCTTGTGGGCTGTGAGAGGCAAAGATTACACTGTCTTCTGAGTGTAGAGGAGATAGCATTTGGCCTAGTCACTGGATGTGGGTTTCTCAGAAGAAATAGTCAATGTTCTGTGAGCCCATTACATCCTTGTGAGGCATTCAGTAGAATAAGCCTCACTAGAAAAAGAAATGTCTAGAATGTGAAGACTGAAACAGAACACTTCCAAGGAAATGCCACAGAATTATTCAAGAATTACACCTGGCAGCAGAGGATGGGCTGTCATCAAATAGGATTTATGATGGAAATACTTTGATAGATGAGACTTTTTGATACGCAAATCTGAATGCCACAGAATAGATCTGATCCTTCTGAATAGTCTGCTGAAATCTATTTTAACAGTTTGTCCAGGGTAACAAGATACAATTTACAACTTTACTGATTTGTGTAAAAATTCTGTCTCTGTGTGTGTGTGTGTGTGTGTCTGTCTGTCTGCATGTATGTATATGTATGTCTCTTAAGTCCTTCTTTCCCTCTCTCTCATGGAAAAATGGTACTCATACTTAAAGGCAATTTTTAACATTATAGTTTCTTTTTCTGGCGGTAAAAAATAGGTCCATGGAAGTTTTATATTAAGGTGGCATTAGATTCAGGTGCTGCCCATTCTCTCTGATAAGAAGTTAGAAGATGCCAGAGTATAGGAAAGATCCAGGAAAGCTTTGCAATAAAACTTTATGCAAAGTAAGTTATTACAAAAATTATTACTATAACATGAAATTAAATTACAAAATAAAATGTCATTTCCATACTTTCTCTATGACATTGTGCATGCAGAGGGATAAAATGGTGTTCACTCAGACCCTTCCACACAAAGCAGTGGTTCTCATTCTGGGTGACCCTACCTCTGAGGAAACATGTGAAAAAATATTTTGTCCCACTAGGGTGGTGCTACTGCATTTAATGGAGAAAAGCCAGGGATACTACTAAGTACAAGTGACATTCTTCCATAAGAAAAGTATTAGGTCCCAAAAGTCTTCTGCATTAAGGTTGAGCATGCATTCTACATGACAACTCTACACTGCATACACATTTGTGCTAGGAAGAATAGGAAAAACAGAATATTTAATATGTACTTTGATTCAGTGGGAAGAACTTATTACACAGCATAGCTCACACTGATATTTTCAAGCTAACATAACCTAGTCCTCCAAGCATGTTGTTTTGAATACCAAGCTTAGCTACTTTGACAGGTCTATGGCTCTTGAAAGATGAAGTAGACTGAAATAAGACTTTCAACTCCAACCCCTCCAACCTATCCCAGGGCAAAGCAGCTACCCTCAGGTGATAGGAAACTGTTTCATATGTTACACTATTAACAACCAGCATCCATATCTACAACTGGGCCCAGTGGCATCTGTCTCTCAGCAGTTCCTTGAACAGCAGCTGACTTCAGGATACCTCCTTGTGTACTGGAGGCCAGGCCAGCACCATGGTAAGAGCAGTCTTGCATGATGATCATACAATTACACTTCAACTTCTGTCCATGAATATTGTAGTCAAATCTGTATTGTGTTGCACAAGTCAGACATAGTGCATGGAAATCCATCCAGACCAGTGTCATAACCAGATAGAAGAATTACTGGAAATTTAGCCAAGTTCTAAAAGACTGGGAGCTAGTTAATATCCATCCTCTTTGCATTCCACTGCTGTGAGTTAAAACAGATTTCCAGAAAGCCCATTTACTACCTCCTTTAGAAAGTTACTGAAATGACTTTGTCACTGTACACTATAACAATTACTTTAAGGCAAAGGTTGAATTCATAAAGTCATTCAGATGAAGAAATGTATTCTGACTGGACAACATAATGACAGGAGGCCAATAAAACTCAGCTTTGTTAAATGTCATCAAATACAATACAGTGAAAACCAATATATGGATAAAATATAGATGTTACAAATTATGAGCACCTTGTGCTGGGGGTTGTTTACTGTTAGCCACTAACCCTTAGGAAATTTCGCTCTTGTGACGACGGCCACTCCTGCATCTCCAGAGCTGTCCTGCAGAGGGCTCGTAAGATATCAAAGATGGGAACTGATATACTGATATTTAAAGTAGCCCTTATTTTCTCTAAAGTACTGATTGGATAACGACTAACGATGTAACTGACATAATTGGTACGGAATAATCCTTGTAACAATGACTTATACATATATTTGTTCCAAGAAGGCATAAAGGAGGTTGGTTTATGATTGCTTTTTTCCAGGACATTTTCTGGTAAGACAAACAAAGTGCACATTTACTAATTGTGGGGTTGTTTATTTATCACTTGTTTTGTTTTAAATGAGACATTCTGCTTACATTAAGGTAATCAGGCTTCATTATAACTGAATACATTATTCAATTTCATATTACGATCCTAGTTAACTACACAAACATGATTATTACTAGTAATTCCCTATCTGTGGCCTGCCAGCATTGTGATAAGTACTTTACTTATGTTATATTTAATTTTCTAATATAAGGCTTTTCTTCCTTTGAACTTTCTTTTGGGGGTTTGGGAGAGTAGGAAGATATCTTTTAGTTCCCTTCTCAGTCCCCTTAACACAGAACTATGCCTGGCCTACAGTAGGCATTCAATGAATGAACTGCCACTTCTTGGGGGGATATAATTATGTCTATTTTCTAAATAAAATGTTCACAAATATTATGTGCCCATCATTTATAAATGAGTGAATAGAAGGTCAGAAATTGAACACATTTGAGTCTGATTCCAATCTTGTTTGAAAACTGGTCCTCACATAATGATCAAGTGAGAATTATAATTACCTGGAAGACTTTTAAACTGTGTTTTTCTAGGCCACATACACCTCTTTGTCTGAATTCCTAGGAAAGGTATCTAGGTAGCAGTATTTTTTGAAAGCTTCTAGGTGATACCATTCCCAGGCATTTAAAGACATAGGTTCCCTTCCTGACTGGACACAAGGTTTTTAAGGAGTCCAGTTCCTCTGTGGTTCTCAATTGACAAATGTGGGTTTCAGGCAACACTGACTGCTCTCAGCCCACCTGTCTAACTCCTAAATAAGCTTCAGGAGCCAGAATTCTACCTCTACATTTCCCCAGTGGATCCACACCACAACCCTCTGTCTCATAAACCCCACCCTCACTGGAAGGTAGCACTGATTCCCCAAGCCACCTGTGTTTCCTCTGCTCCCACCAAGCTGCAGGTTCCCAAAGAGCAGTGACTTTTGTACCTGCAACTCTGTATCCATCCGGCAACTGGCATTGTGCCCACCTCTGTGACTATTGTACAACATATCCATCACAGATTTGCTAACTGCTTTTCTTTGTCAGAGAAAGTAGCAAATACATGATATATTTTCTAGCATAGCTATCTGGACACTAAAGAGATTTAATTACATATTCCTTTCCACCTCAGAGTTTAGCTGTTACTTTTTAATGATTATTTAAAAGTTTAATTTTTTTGTTTCCTAATTTTATATTAAACATTACATCTTAAGTATTATAATTACTATCCTGTAATACTGCAAACAACACAGGATTATTTATTTTAAAACACTGAAATAGTACTTTTTTTTAATAAAATGGAAGTGTTATAATGCAAAATTTATTATTGTGAGATTTATGGCACAGAAATTTTACAAGTCAGATTTTCCTAGAATGTTTGCATGTGTACATGTGCATGCTTAGTATAACGTGTGCATGTGTATGTGTGTATGCTTAGTATAATGTGTACATGTGTATGTTTAGTAGAATGTGTGCATGTGTACCTGTGCATGCTTAGTATAACATGTGCATGTGTATATGTGTATGTTTAGTATAACGTGTGTATGTGTACATGTGTATGCTTCAGTCAAACTTGCAAGCAAAACAAATCTTTGTTTGTGAAAAACAAAGCTCTGTTACAATAGTTCCAGGACATCCTGAGTGTGGGCAGCTGTTTCCAGGTAAGGACCACTCTGTAACCAGAGACAGATCTAGTCTAGGTGAGCAATTGCTTTGCATACAGACAACACTCAAAGCTAACAGGAATTATCTCCATAAATTCACATTCAAGTCTTTGTCTAAGAATGTAGCATGTGACTTGAATAAAGCAAAGGCTGTTGTGGACTCTGTTGAGGGCTCTGTTGTAGACTCTACTCCAGCCTGGTCTGTGAATGGGAAGAGTAAGGAGTGCTTGCCGTACTCTGCCTCACTGTATCTTTTGGTCCAGTTTTACTGAAACGAACATTTAAACAGTGAAGTCTCACTTGAGACTCTCTCAGGAAAAAGGTTTCAAAGGAACACAGGTCTGTTGTTAGAGTTCAGGTCCTGATCTCAGGCTGCTTAAGAATTTACAGACTCACTGGTGCGTGGCAGGACAGATGAACGAGTCAATGTGACCAATGTAGAAACATCTTTTCTAGAGACACTATAGGCTCTATCTACCGTCATGAGGTGGATAACCAAGACAGTAAAGCACAGAAAGTACTGGTGATTTCTAGGTGTTCCTGGAAGTGTGACAACAGATGTCTTCAAAGCATTCTGTACCCCACTGCTAAGAAACCCTGGGAACACACGAAAGGGTGGCAAAGGCAAGGGGACAAGAGAATCATTGCAACTGGAGACAAGAGCTGAATCTGAGAACTCTGAAATGCTCACACACACATCAGATCCACTGACTCTCTACACAGGCTGTGTGTCCCAAGGTGCCGGAGGAACCTGCTCCTGAAACTCTGGATAGTTCTTGCTAACCCAGGTCCTAAGTAAAGCAGATGCAGGAACATTAATAGAACTCCTGAGCTCATGTTCAATTATTGGTACCCACTGATTACACAGATCTTTGCAATGCAGAGAGCTTGGAGGAACACAGTTTCTAAAGAAGGTGATTCTGGGGCCTAAAGACATATCAGGTGCCTCCAGGTTGTCACCAGAGGATATATTTCAGCATCAGTTAGACTGTATGCCAATTTCTCATTAGATCACAGCTGCCAGCTATGATGTGTCACTTACGAAAAAACAGTTTTTTTTTTAAACTAATGCTATAATCTCATTTATTTTTAAAGGTCATATATGATAAACAAATAAAAATGATCATTTATATTTTTATTAAGAATTCTAATGCCAAGTAGAGTTAATGCCAAAAAAATCTATAATTCATTGTGTGAACTTTCAAGGAATTAGACATACATAGAATTCCATTTCTTACATCCAACTCCCTTTTTTACTAGTCCTGTGAAATGGGAATGATGTTTATACCATTATAAAGACTTTCTAGAAAATATATTTAATGTTTTATCTCCATATTGAAGATCAAAGAGCTTAAACAGTCAGCCAAAGATTCAGAGTAGCAAGCTAGTCTGTTCATTATATGCTTTTACCACATGAGCTCTGCATCAGCAAGGCTTGGTTGAAATCTTGACTTTGCCAACTGACTAGCTGTGTGTGCAGCCTGAGCCACATAGGCAACCTCTCTGAACGTCTGGGCCTTCATCTCTAAATCTGAGATAATGTTACCTACCTCACAGGAAAGTTGTGAGAAAGGTAGATACAGAACTGCTAAGTACACTAGATGCCCTCAAGCTATTAATTTGTCTCTAAAATGTTACTTAATTGGTATATTGCATGGCACTCTAGTGAAAGCAGGAAAGTCTCCTATAAGTTCTTGCATGACCCAAGTTACCAGCACCGTGTCATGGTCTGATGGTACAGTGGCTGTCGGCCTAACAGTCATCTCACCTGCCTTGGAAACATGCTGCTGACAAGCGCTGACCACTGCGGCCCATTGGAAGCTGCCATGTCTGGCTTGTGCCCTGGCTCTAAGTTATAATTCCTTCTATTTTCGGGGCGGAGAAACCACTATGAATCTCTGTCTGAATTACAGATGACTGGGCAACTCTTTCCTTCCTTCCATTTCTGTCAGTTATGGACCTCTCCTACATCTGAGACATAATCCTGGATACTTCTGCGTTTCCTTTCATTCTGTCCCATTCTCTCTCCCCTCGCTGTTCATACTAAGTTCGGGGCTTAAATGGTTGAGCCCTGAGAACTATAATATTATCATCTATTGATTGCAATCTTTGTCTCTCCTCATAGGCTCCTGGTATCCCAATGCTCCAATGCTGGGGATCTGCTCACAGAATCTCCACTTTCATACCACTACTGCCTGAGCTGTGTGTCCATGTTTTCCTATATCCCCAAACATTGCCATGTGTGTTCAGGGCCACAGTTCTCTACGTTAGCGACAAGGCAGTTTATAGCTCAGTTGTATTCGCTACAGGTAGCCCAAATGAAAGTCCCGGAAAGCAGTTGGTTATGGCTATCCCATTTATTTCTGTATCATTATCCTCATCAAAACAAGGCTGACTACAAAGAGGATCAGAAAGTCTCAGGTGGGGTTGTGAAGGCAAATTTCCTGGATTACAGCCTTCTCTACAGTCATTATAGTAAAATTGCTTTAGGTGTGAATAATTAAAATAATTCCAATACTTATTATAAAAACATCATCCTAAATAGAGACTTTTCAACTATGGTTTCACAATACCTTTGCAGAGGGTAATTCCCACTGAAATATAATGATGTAAGGGGAAAATTAACATAAAGCCTGTGCTCATAACTAATACAGACAATTATTTTATCTAAGCAGAAAATTTTCTAACAAAAGTATCAGAAATCTAAGTACTGATGGTTTCAGAAATCTATGATTTAGTGACTATGTAAACACATATGTCACTAGCATTTCAAAGAGAATAAAAGTCTTTGTCAGTCTGTCCCAGAGCTAAGTATATATGACCTTGGATCAGCCAGGAGAGTAGGACTTAAGGACAAGGTCAGGAGATGGCCCGAGACATCAGAGAGAGCATCTCAGGGCCATGGTGGGGAGTGTCCTCTTCCATCCCAGACCTACACTTGCCCATCTCAGAAGTGTTCTGGGTCACAGAGAGCACAGAACATCAGTAAGTATGATTTACAAGTTTAGGTGGAAAGAGTACTTCCAATCAAGGAGGAGCAACCTTAAACGAGTGGTTAGTAAGTAGAAACTGCCTCAGATCTTTGAAACCATATATGAGGGCCAAGTGTAAGAGAGTATGTTTGCCCTGTATTTTCTGGAAGAAAGAATGATTCAACATTTTTAACCAAATGAAAATACTTATCACGATACAGACATATAAAAATAGAAGATGCCATAAAAATAAAGATATCACATTTTAACTGAGCCCCCAATAATGTAATAAAATAAAAATCAGATTAAAATGATAGAGAATTAATTATAATATTCTCTCACCTCGACTGTACAGTATTGATAATTGGTATCACTGCCGGTGTAATATGGGGATCCCTCCCACCTCGAATTGCAATCCCCCCCTCTTTTTTGGAATGATTGTTGCATTAAGTTCTAAGAGAGAATAATAATTACATTGAGTTCAGGGATTAAAATGTATTAGAAAAAAAATCAGTTAGCACGCATGCTATAATTAACAAACTAGAAAAATGTGTTTTCATGACCTTATAATACATTAATAATATGTTAGTGATAAATTACTGTCAGACATCATTCGGATCACTACAAATTTCCGCATATGTTAAGTAATTCAGGATTTCTGTACTATAATTAACATTCAAACAAACATTAACTATGGCATAAATAAGATTAAAGTCATTTACCACATGCACATCAACAATCTAAAAATTTAAAGAGGTATGTGTATCCATAAGCAAGTTACCCACGCACACAGCTAGGAAAATATTAAATATCTGTGATCACTCGTATCTTATCAAATTTAGCTATTTGCAAAGGCCCTTGGAGTTCTGTCTTTGATTAGTTCTCTTCAGATAAGACTTTCAAGCCTGTGGTTATGACTCACCACTGTGAAAAACTGCCTAGGCGTTGTGAATACAAAGTAATTTCAAGTTAAGTTTTTCACAAAATCTCCTTTTTGAAAAAGAAAAACTACAGGGGTTCTCTTCAAGGAGGGAAGAAAGGGAGAAACAGGCTTAAAAATCAACGACTATTATATATCTGTCTTCTTTCTTGTTTTTAAGTAAAACATCATTATTACCTTTAAAGGTAAAACAGAATATATCTTAACTAAACCGATTCTGATGACTATTTTAACAAATATCAGGTTAACACCTGAAAGTTAAATGATTCATTTTGAAAAGAGTGTTAGGGGAAGCAATGCTAGATGGTAAATGGCCAAAGTCCTTTGGCACGAAGGTGAGTAACTTCACAGGGTGAAAAGACCAGGCAATCGCCACTGCTGGTGTGTTCACACACAATCATCACTTCAGCACAGACACAGAGCACTTGGCCACACAAACAAGGAGGGGGCTGAAAGTGTGCTCACCACGGGCTGCAATGGGGCACCAGGCATCATGGCATTGGCTAGCTGCATCTGCTGGGCCAACATGGCCATGTTCTTCTGCTGAATCAAGTTATTTCTTCCATTTATCTCCAACTGTGTTTTTAAGTGTGGGGGCGGATGAAGATATTTGCAGTTCTCCCTGGAGCAACGACCCTAAAAGATAAAAGAAGCAAGCTCCATTGTTAAATAGAATAAAACTAGTAAATTGTAGAAATAATAAGCGAATAAGCCATCTAAATCTATGAGTGTTTCATAAAATTTATCATTTATACCATTTTTTACACATTAAGAAAAAGTAATGAATTCAACCACAAATGTATTATCAAAATGAGGATTTAAGACATTTGAAAAGCTCAAAAGCTGCAGGAAGTTCCTTCAATGTAATAATTTCAGTGATATTATTTCCAGTTTAAAAGTCTATAATTACAAAGTAAGTCTAAAGCACAGAGTATCAACTAAAACACCTTGAATGTTGGCCACAACGTCTTCTCCCTTAACATCATGAAGTCATGGAGTGACTCATGAAAGCTTATCATTGGTATTTTACGTAGACTGAATTCAAACACATTACCTTAGAGGACCCAAAGAACATTGTTTCTTCAAGAAATGCCTCCAAATGAACCTCATAACAAATAAAATGGGAATTGCTACTGAGCTTTCAAAAGCCCCATGCATTAGGAATTTTATGGCTGAAAAGAGAACTACCATGTTCTCACAGCAATAGAGATTCAAAGATAATCAAATACAGGTTGAGAAATGAGCCTTTAACCTTTGAAAGATAATACTGTCCCATGACCCCAAACTATGAAAATAATTGGAGGTGGATATGCTCACCCTGCAAAGAACTGACAATGGAAAAAAACAGAAACAGAATACATCACAAAAAGCTTAATAACAGTAAGTATGCATTTATCCTGGGATGATTCATCAGAAGCATTTATTAAAGACTATAATATGCCATACTGGGGGGAAAATTTTAATTATATTGACTGATACATCTCAACAACTACTTGACAACAACTACATCTAAATTGACAATTCTTTCACCAGTGAATCTAATCAGGATTGCTTGTTTGTTCATTAGATACCATAAAGATTCATCTCTCCATAACCTTCTTTACCCTTATTTTGACCTATAAGACAGTAAATCCTGGTTCATTTTACTTTGCATAAATTAACTCTGAAAACTGATGCTTATGATAAAGCTGCCACAATCGTAAGTCAAATGCTCCATTTAGGTTTTTATCCTGTAAGATTTTTTAGGACAAGTCTCTATACTGTGTGAATACAGGACATTGCCCATGAGTTTAGGACTGTGAGTGGTCTACAGCTGCCTTAGTCTTTCTCAGGTCCAAAGGAGATTCCCTTCCCCCAGACTCCCTCAACCAAAGGGGCCAGTCTTCATCACTGTCAGAAGGGACAAATGGCCATCTGTGCTATCTATCAGCATTCCCAAAGGAGTGCTAGCCTCCAGGCTTTCTCACTGCACAGCTACCCATGCCTTTTCTCAGCTTTTCTGACCCCAGGCCCTATCCTAAACTTCTCCAGCCCTGGGCTTCCCTTCCCCCAGCTTCTTATTCCCATATCACCCCGGACTTTTGGTCTAGAATGCTCTTTGCTCTCACACTTCTGTCCCTCTCTTGTCTTCCTCTCTCAGCCTCCTCTTACCCCTCTTTCTTGTTCTCCTTTGCCCACACTCTCGTGGTCTTCCTCTCTCAATCCCCATCCCCATTATGGCCAAGTCCAGTCTGCTGACCATGTTCAATCTACTACTTTCTGGCTCTGCTCTGGACTCTCCCAGATGCCTCTGGCTGTACCCTCCTTTCTATCTCTAGTAAAAATCTTCCCCTCCACCACACCTTGGAGCAGTCATATCTTCAACTTATCCATCTGATGCCCAAACCCTAGTTTATAGTCATCAGCTGGGCAAATGGCCCGAGACACTCAGTTCTTTCATTCTTGAACTCTTTGTTCAGCACAGCATGCTTAGAAACATATCACTCTTATACAACCTAATGGCACAGCAAACAAGAAAAATGCAACACTGACTGGAGGTGGAATTTTACATTTTCTGCTATTTATGGCTCTTGATAGGTCCAGAAAATTGAATACAACACAGAACTTCTGGTTCTCCATATCCCTACCTCTTATTATTATTATCCCATTATTTACTAAAGCTGCAATGAAGTGTAGAAAGAATGGTATGTCCACCCTGATGATTCAGTTGCAGTCAGTTGACTGGTCAGTTTCTTTGGTTCCATAAATAGCACAAATGAAGCTTGGACTTGAATCAGATGAATTCTAACACATTTTCTTTTCCCTTGGTGCTCCTTTTTAGTACCTTCCTTGACCACACATCACCAAGGTCCGCTATCAATGAGCTTGGATTGAAATAATGGAAAGGAATTTTATGTGCTGGTCATAAATTCTGCATCAGTACATCCTTTCAAACTTAAAAAAAAATTATTATATGCCACAGCACACTTATAGAGACCAAAGAACAACTGTGAGAGTCAGTTCTCTCCTTCCATCATATGAGTTCTGGGGATAAAAGAACTCAGGTTGTCAGGCTTGGCCAGGCTTGAAAATAAATACCTATACCTGCTGAGCCATATTGCTAGTCCATCATCTTGAAATTTAGAAGCTCAGACACATGGCTTCCTTCCTGTGTTTACTGTAGCTAATCTGGGGTAAAGGCATCACTTGACTACAGTTCTTACCTGTTGCTTAGTTTTATTGTCTTGGTCCCTCAATTTCAAAAAGCTGTGGGTATGTTTTAAACAGGACATTCCTGTTCATCCTCTCTGTCCTATGACTTTTCCTGGGGAGACTTGAATAGATGTCTACTCATTCCAGATAGAGAAGTAGCAGAATAAAGTAAGGATTCCACCAAAGTTCAAGTTGGTGAAGCAATGCATTTACTGGGGTTACTTACAGGAGCATGAGTGAGGGTTATTTCTAGTGCCTATGACCACAAGAAGGGTCCAGGTAGGTGTGTGTGTGTGTGTGTGTGTGTGTGTGTGTGTGTGTGTGTGTGTGTGTATAGGTGTGTGTGAGATGTGTATGTGGTGTGCGTGTTTGTGTGTGTGTGTGTGTGTGTGTGTGTGTGTGTGTGTGTGTGTGTGTGTACACAAGCCCCTGAGCACTACGGTGCCCCTTGTCATCTTTACCTTATCTTTTGAGTCAATGTCTTTCACTGGATCTGGAGGACACTTACCAGCTAGACTGGCTGGCCAGGGAGCTGAGGAATTCTTTCCTCCCTCCCTCCCAACACTGTGACTACAGGTAAGCAAAGCCTTGTCCAGCTTTCCAGTGCTGTGTTGACGATTCAAACTCAGGTCCTCATGCATGTCCTGCAGGCCCACTGAACCAAGTTCCCAACCCATAAAATATACTGGTATTTGGTTTCACAGACACATGTAGTTGTACCTATGTTGTAACTGTACAAAGATGGCTTTAAACAGTGGCTGTTACTCGGTTGTGTGACTTCATGGAATTTAGTGAACTCTATGTGCATGTCTTATTATCCGAATAACCACAGCAGTCTCTGCCATTGTGATAAGGGAAGCCGAGGAGAGCTCAGGATGGCTTTCTACATGATAACTGGCAGAGTGGACCATCAATAACTGAATATTGTTCTCTCTTTCCTTAAAAATTTCAAGTAAGAACAAAATGGCTCACTTAGCACTGCATCTTTAAAAAGAACTAAAAATAATACAGGCTCTCTGGGAGAGCAGTCTGCTGTGGGATGGTCTGTATGTCAAATTACTCTGGTCAATAAATAAAACACTGACTGGCGAGTGGCTAGGCAGGAAGTATAGGCAGGACTAACAGAGAGGAGAAAAGAAAGAACAGGAAGGCAGAAGGAGTCACTGCCAGCCGCCACCATGACAAGCAGCATGTGAAGATGCCAGTAAGCCACGAACCACGTGGCAAGGTATAGATTTATGGAAATGGATTAATTTAAGCTATAAGAACAGTTAGCAAGAAGCCTGCCACGGCCGTACAGTTTGTAAGCAATATAAGTCTCTGTGTTTACTTGGTTGGGTCTGAGCAGCTGTGGGACTGGCGGGTGACAAAGATTTGTCCCGACTGTGGGCAAGGCAGGAAAACTCTAGCTACAGCAGACAGTGCTCTTAACCACTGAGCCATTGCTCTAGTCCCTCAGAATGAATAAAAACTTTCTTAATATAGAAAAAGTACAGAAGAAAACAAATACAGGCACCAAACCCAGTGACAATGCATGCCAATCGTCAACAATGAAGAGGCTGTGCCTCCCTTAACCATCACCCACCAAAAAAAGACTCCATTCAAATCCATCTGCTCCTGTGGGGGCTTTGTGTCTCGCATTTGGTGATTCCAGTGCAGTCTTATTTTCAGATCACCACTCAAATGAATGAAACCATCAAACTTGCAAATTCTGACATTAAAATTCCTTCATTCTGAACTTAAGGATAAGCTCCTTTAGCTTTAAAAATTACAATCAACTTTGTGACCAAAAGAGGGGAGATTTCATGTTTCTTCTTTTAATCCTCAACCTTACAACTCAAGAAAACACATTTAAAAATCACTGTAGGGGTGTGTAAATGTCATGAATTCACCAAGTATATGGATGTGATTCATGAAGCGAGTACATGGAGAGAAGATGTAGAACATGGTGAGCATCAGGCAGCCAACAAGATAGAAAGGATAAAACTGAGTGAACGGAGGGGCAGGAATTCATTAAAATGGGAATGCTGTTCCTGGGAGATTTTTCATATTTATTTAAAAAAAAAAAGCCTGCTAAATAATTAAAAATAAAACAGCATTTTAGTTAGAAGGTGGGCAAATTTGATATCAGAAAAAAAGGTAAAAATTATATTTCTATTGTTTTTCATTAATCTGAAATAAAAGGATTACTATGATTTGTGTAGTCAGAGTCTAAAAAGACATAGTATCATTCTGCCAAACAATAACGCTGGGTAGAATGAAATTACCCAGTCAGATCCGAGTAGACTCTAGAATAAGGAGGTAATGAACATCCTCTAGTGGTGCCACCTCAGAAGTCTTTTCCAGCTTCCTTCGGCAACACTGGATTCTAGTAAGGCTCCTCAAATCAGCATTTCTCTTGTGACAACAGAGACACACAATGTTTCTGAAGCACTTTCTGGAGA